GGTTAGAGAGTCAATAGTCTGTTTTTCCTGTCTTTTGATGTGTTTGCTTATTGCTATAAGTTGACCTCTGATTACTGCTTTGGCTGCTTCCCAGGCAAGTCGGTTCTTAAAAGCTTGCTAGTGGCCATCTATGTGATCTTTCCCTGTCTGTAACAAAGAAGAGGGAAGAAAAACAAACATGTACTGAAACAATTAGTCTAATGGAAAAATAAACCACATGCTCTTCAACCTCCATAACTCTACGGCAGGAAGAATTAGATGGTGCCCAGCTGCCACCGCTGACTATTCAAAGAGATCACAGTAGAAGGTTATGGATGGTGGGGAGAAATGTGAAACTGAAAAATATAAAAATAACCAGATCTTGGGAGTAGAGAAGAGTGTTGAATATACCATGGACTACCAAGAAAACAAATAGGTCTGTCTTGAAAAGGGTGACCTCTAGTTTCTCCTTGGAGGCTAGGATTTTGAATCTTCATCTCACATACTTTGGACATGTGGACAAGAGAGACTGGTCCTTGGAGAAGGACATCAAGCTCACAAGGGTGGAGGGACAGCACAGGAGAGGAAGACCCCAGATGAGATGGATTGATACAATAACTTGGGCAATGGGGGTAGGTGTGTCAGAGTCAGTAAGAGTAGCTCAGAACAGGGTAGGCTTCAGAGCTCTTGTTAGGTTGTACACAGGTTGCTATGAGTTACAGATGACTTGACAGCACATAACAACAACAATGTCACTAATATCACACACAAGCAAAATCCTGCTGAATATTAAGCAAAAATGACTGGAACAGTAAATTGACACAAAACTACCAGAAATACAAGCTGGGTTAAGAAGAGGCCATGGCACTAGAGACATTATTGTCAATGTCACATGGATCTCAGCTGAAAGCAAAGAGTACCAGAGGAATATCTATCTGTGTTTCATTGACTATGTAAAGGTATTTGACTGTGTAGATCACAACAAATTGTCACTAACCTTGACAAGAATGAGAATCCCAGAACACTTGAGTGTGCTCATGCAAAATCTATACTTGGACTAGGAAGCAGTGCTCAGAACAGAGCAAGGAAACATGGCATGGTTCAAAATCATGAAAGGAGTGCATCAGGGATGTGTCCTGTCTCCATACCTTTTCAATCTATGTGCTGAACGGATCATTCAGGAGGCTAAACTTTATGAGGATGAATGTAGCATCAGGATTGGACACAACCTGGCTGGCCAAAACTTAGAAGAAACCTGAAACGCTGCAGAACATCAAGGACTGTAGTCTTAAGTACAGATTGAAGTTCAACATCAAGAAGACTAAGATTCTCCCCAATAGACCAATTGACAGCACCATGATAGATGGAGAATAGATTGAGGTTGTTTATTATTTTCAGTTTGCTTGGCTCCACAATCAACACTGTTGGCACCAGCAGTCAGGAAATCAAAAGGCTAATTGCACTGGAGAAGATGGTTGTCAGGGACTTCTCCAAAGTGCTAAAGAGCAATCATGTCAGTCTAGAAACTAAAGTGCACCTTATCCAGGTCATGGTCTTCACAATTACTTGCTATGCATCTGAGAGTAGGATAATAACTAAGGATGACAAAAGAATTGATGCCTTTGAGTTGTGGTGCTGGAGAAGAATACATAGGTCTGTCCTGGAGATGGTGAAACCAAGTTTCTCCTTGGAGGTTAGGATTTTGAAGCTCCATCTTACATACTTCAGGCATATGGCCAGGAGAGATCAGTCCTTAGAGAAGGACATCATGTTTGGTAGGGTGAAAGGACAATGCAGGAGAGGAAGGCCTAAATGAAATGGATTGACACAGTAACTGAGGTAATGGGGGTAGTTGTGTCAGAGTCAGTGAGGCTGGGTTAGGATAGGGCAGGCTTCAGAACTATTATACCTACGGTCGCTACGAGTTGCAGGCAACTCAAAGGAACATAACAACAACAACAAAAACATTACCAGGAATTTAATGAAGTGGTGTGGATAGACAGCACTATGAACACTTGGCAAATCACTGCAACCATATTCATCATCACTGTTGTGCACAGTGAAATGGATTGTGACTCCTGTGACCCTGTGTGAGAGAACAGAACTGCCCTGGCTCATAAAGTTTCTTTGCTGTAATAATCTTCACAAGAGGAACTAGCTGGGTCTTCCTCCTATGAAACCACTGGGTATGTGTGAACGGCAACTTTCTGGTTAGCATCGCTGTATCTCCTATTACTGAGGTCTGGTGGTGTAGCACCTTACATGCTAGGCTGCTAGCCAAATAGTTAGCCATTCAAAACCACCAACTGCTCTAAAGGGACAGGACTCTGTCCATAAAGATTTACAGCCTCAATCCCAATTAAGTGTCACCATAGTTTAGATTTGGCTTAGTAAGGAGAGTTTGGTATGGTTCTTTGGTACTATTATAACACAGAATTATAATAGTGGCTTGGCCCCCGATAGCCTTGTTTTCTATCAGCGACGTCTCAAATGAGTAAACTTTCATGTGGAAAAGGAAAGGTGGTTATGTTTTTGTCATGGAGAAGGAGTCTGAGAGTTCTGGTGAAAGGCAGATTCATTTCAATAATTGTTCCTAAACTGGAGGTCCAAGGGGCTCCTTATTCCTCCACCCTTATCTGAGGGCAGAGAATCAGGGTCACTCACCGCCATGACGAGCTCAAAGGGGTACTTGTACACGCGGACCGGGGACTGGTACTTCTGCACCATCTTCACTAGAGGAAGGTGGCCGAGTAATGAGCGCACAGAAAGTGAAAGAGGGCGATGGATGAGTGTCCACCTCCAGATCCCACTCTGGCTTCATCCAACGTCTCCTAGCCCCTCAACAAGAGGTTGGAAAGGACTCTTAGAAAGACCCCAAACACCGTCCCTACCCATCCACCACCAGACCAGCTCAGCATCTCCAAACTTCCCTCTTCTCCATTTCTTCGCAAGAGCCCCCAAACACACCTCTCCCTGTTGCCCACGTGAAAAATACACCAGCAATTCTTACCATCCCCACTCATCACAGTTCACATCAAGAAGGCATTCCACAGACTCCGTGACTCTACAGCTCACCCCAGCATTCCTCCCATTCCCCCAAGGAACCCCAATACACACACATAGATCTCACTAAATTTCACACCCACACGCATGGTTCCACTCTCACGAAGAGTTACCGTTGCACAAACATCCAACTTTAGACACATACATTTTACCCGACACCGGCACGCACACACGAAGGTATATGCACATATGCTCACATACAAGCACTAACACACACGCAGACATGCGCGCGCACACACAAGCACGTACTCAAGCACAAACCGACAAGCCCTTTAACCTCTTCAGCTCACCTCACCCTCAGGAATCCAGGGACGCAGCCCTGGGCAGCTCTCTGTGTTCTCGCGGGGCCCGGAGCGTAGTCCACCGAAGTCCTAAGAGTCGCCTGGTTTGGGACGCAATGCCTGGGAACTAGACTCGAGCGCGTGTGTCAGTCTAAGGGCACCTTACTGCCCCAGCCAGCCGGCCAGAGACCCTCAAGAGGATAAGGAACCTGACCTGCAGAAGCAGAACGAATCATTCTGAGATCAGGAAGAGCTGAGGCGCTAATCAGGCCCCGCCCAGACCCATCTTGCCCCTCTGAGTGGCACCAGCCCACCTAGGCCCGCCCACAGACTGCAGCCTCCTTCCCTTGAACCCGCCCCTTCCTCACCTCCCTTATTCAGGCCACGCCTCCACGATGATTGATGCCCCCTACCTCCAAGCCTGGTCCTGCGCCACCTAGTAGTCCCGCCCCGAGACCCCAGCCCCAAGGCTCCTCCCCAGCCTAGCCCCACCCTCAGGCTCCACCCCATGTTAGCCCCGTCCGATGCCCCACCTCTGCCTAGCTCGGAAGAGCCTTCCCCTCTATGCCCTGCAGTCGTTTAACACCTCAATACAGATTCATCTGGAGCCTCCAGACCACCCCCATCCAGGACTCTAAGCCAATCCTACACCTGGCCACACCCCAAAGTGTGCCAGAGCCTCCATAGGCCCCGCCTATGCAGGCATTCATTTTGCTGTCCTAGTGACTCAATGCTTTAAACGCTTGAAGTGCTCAAAGCCAAAAGCAAACCAGGCACTCAGAGGGAGAAAGATGCAGCAATCTGCTTCCGTAAGTATTTTAATCTTGGAAAACCTATGGGGCAGTTCTACTCTGTCCTATTAGGTTTTCTTAGTCTGAATCCACAAATGCAAAATAAGCCCCACCCAGTCGTGCTCCCCCTCAGTATCTCCGCTGCACTGTGCCTGTTGCAGCCTCTGTGCTTTGGACGGTCTTGTTCTCTTTGACTGACTCTCAACTTTTCCAAGAATGATGTCCTTTTTCAGGGACTCTGGCCACATGCCTAAAGTATATGTTGCTGTTGTTGTTTTGTGCCGTCGAGTCGCTTGCGACTCATAGCGACCCTATGTACAAGAGCCCTAAACCCTCCTCTATTCTGTGCCAACCTCGCCATCTCCGACACATTCATTCCCACCACCCCAATCATAGAATCAATCCTTCTCATCGAGGGTCTTCCTCTCCTGCGCCGTCCCTCCACTCTTCTAAACATAATGTCCCTCTCCAAGGACCAGTCCCTCCTTGTAACATGCCCAAAGTATGTCAGAATCCTTGACTCCAAAAAGCATTCCGGCTTCACCCTCTCCATGACAAATCTGTTTGTTCTCCTAGCAGGCCATGGTATATTTAACACTCTTCTCTAGCACCACAGCTCAAAGGCATCAATTCTCTTTCTAGCATCCGTAGTCACCGTCCAACTCTCCGATGCATAGCACTTAATTGCGAAGACTATAGCCTGGATCAGGGGCACCTTAGTTTCCAGCCTGATGTTGTTGCTCTTCAGTACTCTTGAGAGGTCCCTCACAGCTGACTTTCCCAATGCAATTCGCCTCCTGATTTTCTGGCTGCTGATACCAAGTGTATTGACTGTGGAGCCAAGCAAACTAAAACTGTTAACTATCTCAGTCTTTTTACCATCCATACTGATGCTGCCAATTGACCCAGTGGTGAGAATCTTTGTCTTCTTGATGTTGAGCTTCAATCCGGATTGAAGGCTGCAGTCCTTGACCTTCTGCAGCAAGCACTACAGATCCTCCCCAGTTTCAGCAAGCAACGTTGTGTCATCTGCATAATGCAGGTTGTTGATGACTCTTCCACCAATCCTGATGCCACATTCCTCCTTGTACAGCCCAGTATCCCAGATGATCTGTTCTGCATACAGATTGAAAAGGTATGGAGAAAGAATACATCCCTGACAGACCCTCTTCTTGATTTTGAACCATGCAGTGTTTCCCTGCTTTGTTCTGACGACTGCCTCTTGGTCCAAGTATAGGTTTCGCATTAGCACAATCAAATGTTCTGGGATTTCCATTCTTCTCAGAGTCAGCCACAGCTTGTGATCCACACAGTCAAAAGCCTTTGCATAGTCAATGAAGAAGAGAGAGAGAGAGAGAGAGAGAGAGAGAGAGAATATGAATTTAAAACAGGTCCTTTGAGGTTTCCTTTTTTTCTTTTCCTCTCCTAATCTATTGGAGTCTGGCAAAGCAAAAGATTTCTCATGGACAGTATTGTCAGCAGTGCACTCATTCATGCTGCACTCACAGAGTACCAGCTGTGTGCAGTGATGCATGGCTGGGTGTGCCTGGGAGTGAACAAACACACAGAAGGACTGATGATATTCACTTAACACATAGCATAGCACCCCATGACAACCATTTCCTCCTGTGTAATGGCTTCCAGTCCTTCTTCTTTGTTTCCAAGTTTAGCATTCCAGTCACCAATTATTAATGAATCTTGATCGCATATTTGGTCATTTCCAACTACAGAAGTTGGTTGATGTTTTTGATTGCCGTCGAGCCCAACCCAAAGCAATCCTATGAACAAAAGATCTGAAGCTTTTCTATAACTATCATCACTTATCAAAGTTCATAGAGTTTCCAGAGGCATATTGTTTAGGAAGTGGATGCCACTCCTGGTAGGAACCCTCCATTTCCTCCGTGTAGGCTTAGTTACTGGTGCATATATTTGAATAATTATTGTGCGCCATCAAGTCAGCATTTACTTATAGTTGACCCTCCAGCAGATTTTCAGAGGCAGTAAATCCTACCAGATGAGAGCAGCTGTTGGATTTGAACTGCATTACTTGAGGATCACAGTGTAACTCCTTACCACAATGCCATCAGAGCTTCCTGTTTAAATAATAATTGTATTAAATTATGGATGACATTGAGAAGAATGGGCTCAGGAAGAATGCGCACTTAATTGAGCTCATGCAAAATCTATATCTAGACCAAAAAGCTATTGTACAAACACAGCAAGTGAAAGGTGTGCCTTAGTGCTGTTTCCTTTTTTCATGCCCATCCAATCTCTATACAGAACAAATCATTCTGAAAAGCTGGACTCTGAAGAATGATGTGGCATTAGGATCAGAGGAAGACTCATCAATAACCTGTGTTATGCAGATGACACAACCTTACTTGCTCAAAGTGAGGAGGACTTGAAATGCTTACTGCAGAAGATCAAAGACTTCAATATGAGTTACATCTCAACATCAAGAAAACAAAAATCTTCACCATCAGGTCAATTGGCAATGTCATGATAAATGGAAAGGAGATAAAAATTGCCAATATTTCATCTTGCTTAGACCCACAATCAATACTCTTGGCACCATTAGCCAAGAAATAAAATAAGATGTATTGCATTGGGAATGTTCACTATCAGCAACCTCTTCAAAGACTAACACTGGGTTTGAGCATGTCAGAGCTGTTGAGCATGACACAGGATAGAGCAAGTTTCAGATTCATTGTTCATAGGATCGCTGTGAGTTAGTCTACTTGACAACACTTAACAACAACAGTCATGAAACATGCTCATAATTTTTCAATTCACTAGTTTCTGTATTACAGACTCCCTCTTCTCAAACATTGTGTTCCCTGGGGACAAAGGAGTGTGTGTGTGTGTGTGTCTTATTATATATTCACATAGTCCTACTGAGGACCTGGTTCTCCAAGGATCTTCCAGAAATGTTCTTGATTTAAAAATATTGAGTGACAATAGAGTGCTCCATTCTCTCCTTGACATAAGATGGCAGCAAAAGACAGCAAGTGGCTCCTGGAAGTCTGCAGACAAGAAATTGAAAAAGTGGGGAGGGGGAAATCTGCAGGGATATTTACATGTGGTCATGAGGGGCCAGTCCCTGGAGAAACCATCATGTTTATTTTACTTTGGGCATGCTCCTAGGATAGGCTACTCTTTGGAAAGGATAGATACCATGCTTGGAAAGGTGGAGGGTCAGCAAAGGAAAGGAAGACCCTCAACAGGATGACTGAAACAGTAGCTGCTGCAATAGGATCCAGTATCTCGGAGGTGGTAAGAATGGTGCAGATGGGACATGGTTTAAATCTATGCACTTAAATATGCCTTGTACTTGACTCAGTACCACTCTACAACAACAGCAACCATGGTTTTATCAAGCAAACTCCTCTTCATCCAGGGCATCACCACCTGACATATAACAGAGCATCTCCAGCTGTTACTACAAATGCTGTGTATTGAACAAAAGGCAGAGTCCTAGACACGGCTTGGAGCAGCCTGAGAATCACCAAATCTGAGCTGTGCTGGCTGGCAGCTCTGCAGGGCAAACCTCAGGATGTCAATTTTCTGGATCAGGGATGTGTGGCTGCTCCTG